TTTCTGCTTTAAAATTTTTTTAAAAAATTAAAAAAAAAAAAAAGTGTTTTACTTTATAAGTGTGAAGTGAGGGACTAGAATTCAGCTTTTGGGGTTTACCATTTATTTCGAACTTGGTTGTATGAATCAGATCACTTTCAGCTAGGAAGTCAACCCTGGATAATAATCATAAGTAATACAATTGAGACAAAAATTTCGATTATAATGCATTATTATGTAGTCCTTAAACACGATAATCAACAATGTTAACCAAATAATTAATTTTACCTCAACACAATAAACAAATTGATCAACTTAACTAATATTACAGATTTTCATCAATGCAGTGTTGCTTTTGGGAGTAATTTAAACTTCTATATTCATCTTTTGGAATTTTAGAGGTTCAGTGCTCATTTGTTGGGGGTTCAAACCAAACTGAAACTGTAGACAGTTTTCTCTGGTATTGAATTTCATATTTTAAGTCAATACTCTATGTGGCTACTTAAAAAATCAAGGAAGTTTTGAACTTATCATCAATCCAGTTCTAGTCCACTTTACTCTCAAGACTATTGTCACCAGTCATCACTAACATATTAAAAGTGAATAAATTTAGTTGAATTTGTTAATCATTGGTTAAAGAAAAACTGCCTTCATGATTACACAAAGTGCTTTCAATTTCAAAAAAGAACAATCACAATCATCTGTTCATGCTTTTAGAATTTTGGGTCGAGGTTTTCATTTTTATAGTTTAATATTTTTGGATTCTGTCATTGACCTGGTATATAATTTGCAATGACTTGGTATACCACCTCTCTTGTTCGAGCTCTCTTTAGCATTGTGGGAGAGCAGCAGCAGCATTCTGTCATTGACTTGGTATATAATCTACAATAAGCTGGTGAGCGACAGCAGCAGCATTGGTCTGGCCCTGGTTCTTGCTCTGCTGTAGTGTGCTTTTGGTGCTTACTGTGAAATGTGAAATGAGTGATTTGTGCATAACAACCAAATTAATGCTTCAAGCAATTATTTTGTTTTTTTAACTTATCAAAAAAAAAAAGTTATTATTTTATTTTTTTTAATGTTTCAAAACTTTAAATTTTCATTACTTTTATTTCAGTAAAATGTTTAATGTTTCAAAACTTTAAAATTTGAATAGGTTTTGATGTGTAATATTAGTACACTTAGCAGTAGAGGACCTGGTGTTTGGATACATGGAAGGACTTCATTTTTCTTTTCATAAGGTAAGCACATGTTTTCTATGAAATATTCACTTTCTCTGAATTGATTAGGATTACTCTCTGAAGATGAGTTAAGTCACTAAATTAGGAGCCCTATCCAATTGAATGGCATTAATAATATATCAAAATATGCTCTAAATATGAACAACCACTTAACAACATAAATACTTTTTGATAGTCTTTTTTTTTTCCCCTTTCGAACAAGTTAATACATGGATATCCATGTCTCTTAGTTGAGATTTTAGACTGAGTTGAATCAACCAAGTCAACTTGGAATTAATTTGTACCAACATGATTTCCCAGCTAGATTATGAGATGGATTACAAGAAACCATATCATTAATATGTCATCAAGTTAAAAACCAGAAACCATGGAGAAAACTGACCTCACTTAGCTTTGATTCAAGTTCAATAAGTTTTGACTTCATATCCTCAATATCTGTAACTAACTGCAACTCCTCCACATCTTTCATTGGTTTAAACTCTACTTCCTTTGCAGGCTCCTCCATTTTTGCCATTGTTTTACACTCTACCTTCGTAGGCTCCTGATCATCCTTCATTGTTATACAATCCATATCCTTAGCTTGCTCCTCCACATCATTCATTGCTATATAAGCTACATCCTTCATTGTTTTATACACCACATCCTTAAATTTTGCACTTGCATTGTAACTGCATAGCATCAAATTTGTCAACAATACTATAAACTACAAAATACAAATAGATGAGAGCAACAAATAGTCAGAAACTATGGTGTACAACTCAGCAAAAAAAACATCTTCATTAGCACACATAGAGGGCAAAAATATAAAACAGCCCCCTCACCACTCTATGGATGTCACAAGTAGCTTCCTCATGACAAATAGGACTTGTGGAGATAGACGAGATGTAATTAGCACACGTGAGTGTAGACACCTCATTTTTGACCGCCCTTAAGACTTGGGCGTTACTGATGGTTTACTTGGTGGAGAAAGGTGTGCAGGGCAAAAGTTCAGTTTCTTCGGCAAGGAGAGAGCCAAATCTCAACTTCATACCCCATTTTGGACCAAAGCTATTTTGGATGGTTTTTAGACTTTAAAACCCTCTCATTCAAAACATTTTTGAAATAAAATTCCTACGATGCTCTGACACTCACATTTTGTCAAATAATGCGCTTTTCGATAAACTGAGTAAGGACAAAGTGGAAATTAATGAAAGAGAGATGAAATCTTTGAAAAATCTTTCAAAACACCTTACTTAGGGGTTTGAAGTTGAAGAAAAGAGGAGAAGAGGGGAGAAAACAAGTTGGAGAAGAAGTTCGGCAAGGATCCGGGTAGAAGAGAGTCGAGCGACCCTCGCTGAATCAGGCTTATTCATCTGCATACTTGGATTTTAGCTATGAGGCCACCACCGTTGGAAAGCTTACTTCCGGGGCTTCGTTTTGCACTCAAGAATCTCCTAAAGCCAAGTCTGGGTGGGGGAGATATGGTTGGTTGAAGTTGGGCATCATCCCGATTGGATCGAATCTGCGCGGCTTCACCAAAAAGGGCATAACTTTTTGCACAGGAGGAATTTTAATGCAAGGTTTGCGGCATTGGAAAGCTAACTTCCGGGGTTTCAATTTGGACACCCACCGGCCACTTGTTGACCTTGGAAGCATCTATCGACAATCTATTTATCCGACCGGCAATTTATTGTGCCGACTGGCCATTTATTTTGGCCGACGACCTCCTTTTCTGGCCGGTTTGACCTTTTTGCACCTTCCAGGCAAGGTGCATGCCAGCTGTGCCAGCTGGGATGCACAAACCCATCCCCCCATACACATAGGTGGTTGTTTTGAGCCCTTGACCCTTTTTTTTTGCACCCTTTGCTCAAGGCTTCTTGAGGAAGCCTTGACCCCTTATCTTGGCTTCCTCAAGAAGCTTACCAGCTGTCCTAGCTTCTGTGAGAAGCCTTGGCCCTCTTGCCCCTCTCTTGACCCTTTCTCTTCAGCTTGTCTTATAAGCTTAGAGCCATTTCCATTGCCTATTTAAGGGCCTCTCCACCTCCATTGTTAAGGGTTGATGGGTTGAACAAAAAAACCAGAGATACACATATATATCTGATAGATACACCCTTCTTCCTCCATAGCTCTCTTCTCCAAAGCTCAAAAGTCCATTACTCTTGGCCCTTTACACACCATCTCACAACCACACACTTCCACCATTGCTTGGAGGTTCTTGGAGATCATTTTTAGAGGCTAAGGGACTGATTTTTTGGACCAAAAGCTGCTGCATTGCTATGCTACAAGGGTAAGTCCTCTTCTCCCTCTTTGAAGCTCTATCTTGCATGATATCTTAGCCCCTTTTGCTTACATTTTTGGGCTCTGACCCAAACTAGAAATAGTCATATTTTGAGCCCCTTTTCATGTTTGATGAAGGACCTCCTGCTGTTTGAGGTCTCCTACTACCACTT